GTGTGTGTGTGTGTGTGTGTGTGTGTGTGTGTTAAACCTAATAGGTTTGTGGTTACTATAGTACCATGTTCTAGTGATTGCACTTAATAACAACTGTAAGAAATAAAGGCCCGGCCAGTGTGGCTCAGTGGTTGAGCCTTGACCTATGAGCTAGGAGGTCAGGGTTCGATTCCTAGTCAGGGCACAGGCACAGGTTGTGGGCTGGATCCCCAGTAGGGGGCGTGCAGGGGGCAGCCCATCAATGATTCATCGTTAATGTTCCTGTCTCTCCCTCTCTGAAATCAATAAAGATTTTTTTTAAAGAAGATAGCTTTAAATATACTACGACTTCTCTGTGAGTTATAAGGGAAATTGAGGTTAAATTTAAAGTTATTGTGGCCTAGGATTCTTGAAATGATGTTGGGAATGTGCTGCCTACGTATGCAATGCTGAGGGTTTTCATCTTTGTCGCAGCTGAGCCTGCGGTGCGGGCCCCGGACGCCCGCGCAAGCACCTTGGACAGCTCCCAGGGCCCCACGAGGTAGGCCTCTCCCCCTGTTCACTAACAACGACATTGCACTCGAGTTTCACCATGTCAGTTGGACTTTGAACTGAATAGGCTTTAATTAGCTTCCCTTAGAAGCCTGTCTTAAGTGTATCTAAGTTTGGTTGGTCTACAACCTTATATTGGTCATATTGGTCTCAGGTGTACAGTATAGTGATTCAGCGTTTTTATACCTTACAGTGTGATCACCCCACTATTCTAGTGATCATTGTCACCGAGTAAACGTATCACAATACGCTTGACTATCTTCCCCTTCACGTTTCTCCCCCCACCCCCAGTCCCCTCCCTTCTGGCAAGCGTCCCCGTGGCCTCTGTTTCTAGGAGTCTGCTTTTGTTTTGTTTATTCATTTGTCTTGTTTTTAGATTCCATGTGTAAGGGAAGCCATGTGGTGTCTGTCTTTCTCTGCCTGAGCTATGCACTTACTGCTGACTTCGTCACTGAGCTGAGAGAGTGGGTTGGAGAGAGTTCTAGAAGCCACTGCACTCTGTCGCCCAGCTCATTCCCAACAGATCGGGGTGGAGATGCCAACTGTTAGGAGGCCCCGCGGGGGCTGCCAGCCTCCACAGGCTCATCACACCTGCAGTTCTTACAGATTTAGGTTCCACCAGATAGTTCAAACCAAGCACTTTCATTTAACCTTTTCGTTTCTATGTGTAAAAAGAAAATAATGTTCCTATCTTCTCTGTCAAGGACACTGAGATGTAGATGGAAGTATTTCAGGTTCTTTGGTTAAAATACAAAATATGTAGAAGTGCATATAATCACGGCTGTTCTTTGGTTTAAGCAACGTATTGTTTCCGCTGTTTACTGTTCATTAGGAGGGAGGGTCAGGGGTGGTAGTGTTGTCTGGGTCTCAGCCGTTCTGTGTACAGTTTACAGAAAAGTGGAAGCACATGGTGACGTTGTAACACTGGCTGTAACGTTGTCTCGGGTTTGCATTGCAGCGCGGAAGGAGATGCGTTCCCACACCCTCATCACTTGCCTTCCAGACACTCACGCCCCCAGCCTCCTTCTTCAGCCTCAGGTAATAGACTTGAAAAAGCCGAGGAAATGCCACTTCAGTAGGTTAACTGCGAGGTGATTGAGAGTAAATGTAAATGAACACACACACCCAGTTTTGTGAAATCTGGTAAATTGCTGTAAGTTTAAATTTTTTACATGATTGCAATGACTTTTTTTTTTTTTCATTTGAAGGGGGAATCAGAAGGTCTTCATCTATGTCTTACGTTGATGGCTTCATAGGGACATGGCCCAAGGAGAAAAGGTAAGCGGAGAATCCTGTCAGTCTGTTCATATGACCAGGAAATGCCAGCTCTCTCGGTCTCTTCTGCTGTTGGGCAAATCGCAATATACCTTTCCTTAGTGCCTGTGGGCAGGTGATCGATCAAGGGGCTGCGTGTAGAAGTCGCCCATGGCCCTCACCGTACCTTGAGGACAATGTGATGGAGAAGCAGGGTACCACACCCGTGGATTCAACCAGCTGTGGTTGGAAATATTCGGGGGGGGGGGGGGGGCGGGTAGGGGAGTTACACTGTTGCTGACGTGTCCTGTGTAGTCAGGCCTGTGATTGAATCTGTGCTGAACATGTACAGACTCTCACCATCATTCCCGAAACGATACGGTGCAACAGTCACAGCATTTCCATCCATCGGGGACTCAAGTCTCTACGGAGACGGAGACGCTGTGAAGTGCACAGGAGGGTGAGGGTCACCGCAAACACTACCGTTTATGGGGGGACTTGAGCTTCTCCATGTGGTCCCCGCAGGGGCGTCCGGGAGCGACCCCCGCAGATGCCGAGGGAAGGCTGTGGTTGTACAGAATCGTTCGGTGAGATGAAGCCATTTCTTTTCTGGGATGATTTAAGGGTTTTCTCTTTGAATTTTTTAGATCATCGGTGCACGGAGTGTCATTCGATATTTCTTTTGATAAAGAAAACACGGTGCCGAGAGGCGCCCCAAACCGAGGCCTCCCTCGCTCTGTCAGCAACGAAGGTCTTTCTCTGAACAACAACCGAGCGTCTAAAACCACGAGGAAGAGCCTGTCCTTCAAGCCCGTCAACGGGGAGGGGGAGGCAGGAAGCATCGAGGAGGAGCTGAGCACGGGCCCTCACGGAGGCTTCCCGACCTACGTGCCCCACCCCCCGCACAAGCTCAACTCCAGCGAGAACACCCGCTACCAGCTCCCCAACGGGGCCCTGCAGCCCGGGCTCCTCCTGGACGAGCTGGGCAGCCAGGTGGAGACACCGAGCATCGAGGAGGCGCTGCAGATCATCCACGACACGGAGCAGCGCCCCCTCGCGCCCCCGCCCGGCCACGTCGCCAACGGCTTCTTCCTGCACAGCCAGGACCTGAGCCCCCTGAACGCCAACCTGCAGCTGCGCCCGCCCAGCCCTGACCGCCTGACCGACACCAAAGGTGCCTTGAGCCCCGTGACCGACGACACCGAGGTGGACACCGGCATCCACGTGCCGTCGGAGGACCTGCCGGGCACGGTGGACGAGGACTCCTCGCTGCGGGACTACACCGTCAGCCTGGACTCCGAC